AACTTTGAATTTCCACATAGAAGAAATTAAGGGGGCTCTAACCGCAGTAGCTTGTCCTCATCCAAGCCCAACTACTCCACGTCAATTTTGGTAACCAACCCAATCCAGCTTTGTAACTCCCTCTCAAAGAGGTCTCTACAAAGGCCCAAATCCCATCCTTTTTAATTTTTATCCCAGCAAATATTAATGAGGAAAGTGTTGATTGATCACTTCATTAAACTCTCTTTACGATCATTTCTCTAAGTTCCTTACTAGTTTTTTAGCTTAACAGCATTGGTTTCTTCACAAAATTCACTAGTTGTGAATCCTGAACATCAGACTTCTCTGTAATCAAATTGACTGAATGTCAATTATCTAGTTTGGAAGTACAAATATTGACAGCGATCAAAGATTGTGATCTAGAGAAGTATATTGATGGAAGTGGTAAATAACCGTTCCTACCCTACTAGAGACAACATGATGCAATTCCTATGCTTGAGATAAACCTGTCTTTCTTACTTGGAAGAAGCAAGATAAATTTTTTTTCTTGGTTGCTGGGTTTGATGAGTGAGCAAAGTCTCTTGCAAACAGTTGAATATAAACCAGAAAGAGAAATTTGGTATTTCCATGAGGCAACTAATCCTACGTCTACGTCTAACACAGCCAAGATTATGCTATTAAAATGACAACTCCAAAATCCTACTAATGGAAGTATGTCAATTAAAAGACATTTGCAAAAAAATTAAGAATCGAGTGGATATATAGAATGTAATCGGGCATAGGATTTCAATTCAAGGACTAGCATTCATCCCATCTTAGTATGTAATTCCATTGATTCCATTGTTTCTGCAGTCTCAGCTAAAACCAAACCTAAACCTTTGCAAGAACGCCCCAAGCCCAAGATTTGAAATCCAACTTCAACACACAACCTTACATTTTCGTGCATCCCTTGCAACCTTGCCACGTTACCTTACTTGTCTCAAACAATTTGTGAGAGGGAAGACTTCCCTAAGAGACCTACACAGAACCTTTGAGCATATTTTGTTCTCACTCACATTTTCCTAAGAAAAGTTCTAGAACATCAACCAAACATAGGACTGTTCTAAGCAAAACAGGTTTAAATTTGTAGTTCCTATGATTGAGCTACCAAAAGTGGTTACTATCAATTTTCTAACCCTTTCTTCACCATAATTATATATCCTTGGAATTTCTCTTATTTGGTTGTGGTCTCGGTTCACTCATTTATTCTTTTATTCTGCCTCTACTATCATATCACATTTATGCTCCCAATGACATAAGACAACAAAATTGAAAAAAATACAACCTTGGATTCAAATGATACGTTACCTTCAAGAACAAGCAAATAATGTTAGTACTAAGAATAAATCCTCTAATGGACAATCAAACTCTTTAAACCAATAATTGTCTTCAATGCCAACTTTCTGGTAAATTTATACGTATCGTCAATAATTGTCATTTCCCCTCTGGTCAATTCTTTAAAATTCAAATTTATCAACAACCATCTTATGAACATGGTCTTCTGCTCCTATGAGTGCTTTGATGGCTACAACAAGTCCTATTATTGAAAATGGCTAGTATCTAACTCTGGTGCGACCAATCATGTTACTGATGATTTCAAGAATCGTATTGGGACAAGTTATTCTGAAGGGCAGCAAATCTATATTGGGAATGGAGCAGGTCTGAACATTCTTCATGCTGGATATTCCTTCTTTTTCCCTTCTTCTTCTTCGGTTGTTGATTCTTCTACTCGTAATTGTACATTTCTTTTTTACAAGAATGAGACTTTTCCTTGATGTAATGAAAAGGGATTGGGTCTCAAAAAGTACAAACTCCACAAAAGAGAAAAAAAAATGCCAAAACATAAATCTTAAATGTTTAGAGAGAGAACGCTAGGAGGAGGCCTTGAGTCGAATTGTTGAAACAATCAAGCCAAGGAAGGCACTTGTTGTGGAAGGTCCTTTCGTTTCTTTTATACCATAGTTCAGAAAGAAGGGCTTCTACAGTCTTGGACCAAGAAAATCCTGGATTTAAGGGCCAAGAAGGGCCAATTAGCAAAGGGAGAATGTTGTCCTTGAACAACATGGAGAGGGCCCACGATAGGTTAAGAGCCAAGAATAACTTATACCAATATTGCCTGGAGTAAACGCAATAAAAGAAGGTATGCTGAAGAGAATCCACATCTGAAAGACATAGAGAACAAACTGGTGGAGAAATATAGTGCTAGGGGAGCTTCTTTCGGGACCTCATAACAATTCAACGAGCTATTGATCATATTCCAAATAAGGATATTTACTCTCTTAGGGCTTTGGGATTTCCATGGAGCTGATATATATACATCTTTATACATAAAGGAAGAGGAAGAAAAAGGCTCGATCAACCAATGCCGATAAACAAGAGAATGGTCAACACATACTGGTGAGACACAACCCAAAAGCATTTGCAAAATCCAATAGTCTCTTCTTCCTTGAGCACCCGACAGAAGAAACAAAATACCCCGAGTGAGTGAGTACATCCCAACGGTCAAAAACAGAACCATTGGGGGAAGATGAAATCAGAAACAGCCATGGGAAGCATGACTTTAAGGGAGAGTTGCTGAGCCAAGGATTTTGCCAAAAAAATAAAATAAAATCTTCTGTCATTCCCCAATTTGAAAGTAACCAAAGAATCCACCTGCTTCCAGATCTTTAAGATATTAATCCAGGGGCTATGAAGACTCAACAAAAACCTTCCAGAAGTGGGCCATCAACGTGGGCTGGACAAAAATAATCTGGTTCATGAATGAATCTCCAACCCCATTTAGAAATTAGGGGCAGATGTTTATATTTCAACCCTCCAATGCGGAGACTTCCTTCTAATTGAGCTTTAATGGCTAAATTCCATCTTACAAGGTGATTAATCTTAACCCCATAGTTTCCTTCCCAAAAGACTTTAGACTTGGGAGGCATTAAAAACATTGACATATGAGAAAGAGGAAAACATGATAGCACCTAGTTACAAAGAGTCAATCTCCCTCCACTTGATAAATTGAATCTCGTCCAACGATCAAGTATGTTTTGGATCCTTTCAATCACAGGCTACCAAAAAGAATTCTTATCGTGACCACGAAGGGAAGACCAAAATACAAAAAGGGCAAGGATTCCACTTTGCAATTCAACAGAGAGGCCACTTGGAGAAACTTAGAATCATCCACATTAACTCCACATAAACCATATTTTTCCCACTTTCAGATCGGAACACCATTTATGTTAAGCATGTCGCCATCATACTTATAGAACGGACCAGTGAATATGGCGTATGCCTTGACAAATTAGCAGAAAATTACGAAGAGATAGAGGCTTGGATATCAAGGACATTTTGCGCCAAAGTTAGCAGGCCATCAGGTGAAATTCTCGCATTTTCTTGATTGTCTACTCAAATATATGGAGCTGTTCCCATCCTTACCACTCTTAACTCCGCAACGAAGATTTAATCAAGATCAAGAACTTGTGCATAACTGTGCAAATCTATCCTTTTAAACAAGGATCTCTGAATATCTAACCAGAGAAGGACAAGAACAAGTCAAAATACCCAGAAACATATAAATCGGGGATAAAACAAGCGAAATAGGTGTCAATCATATCGCGGAGAAATTGGCTGATCGTGTAATAGCAGATTAACGAATCAAAGCTTAATACCGCAAAAACACAAGAATAAACCACAAGAGAAAGAATCAGAACCGAAGATCAGATAGAAAAACAAAAGAAATGAAGAAAAGAAACAGAATCTAACAAACCCATGTACAAATTTAGTAAAGGAGCAAAGCCACAAAATCCTACCCGAAATTCGTTCGGTATGTTGACTCCTTCCCCGCACGACTGCATCAGTTGTGGTCAAGAAAGCAGCAAAGAGAGGAACGAAGATGGCCCAGACCAGACTATTCATTTTCGCAGAGAGACACAGTATAGTCTAGAAGGCGAACATGGATAAATGGAGACTAAAGTAACAATTCTAGTAGAAGGGTGTATTCGCTTAGGAAGAGACGGCTTGCATTGAGAAAAATATGAATTCTAATTTTTTATTTCTTTTCTTTTCTGCAAAATAAAAAAAATTTTAAAAAAATCATTTTTTACTCGTTTTTTGTTTATGCACAAAAAAAAAAAAAAAAAATAAATAAATAATAAGAAGAAGGAAAATTCCAGTTGGGATTTAAACAAGAAATCCTGGCATACAAATAGGAAAATGTATGAACTTGGGTCGATTTTGTTTTAAATAATCCCAACTAACTTGCTTTTATTTCTTTAATCTAAATCGCATACAAATATGGACATACTACATATCTTGTTCATAACATAAGAAATATATATATGGATTTTCAAACCAAAACTTTGAAGCCTAAAGCCTTCATATAAGTAAACCATACGATAGATCAAACATAATCAAAGGGAAAGCAGAAATTGAAGAGCATGTGTTTGCGCGGGAGTTGAAGTGAGACGTTGTTTTTGGTGGTCAAGATCTAGTCTGAAATGAATGTCCGATGATCCAGCCTGTTCAGACGCTGTTAAACGTGGGGTGGTGGTGGAGTTTGTGGGAGGGGCTAAGTTTGTTGACCATTGTGGTGAATTGTTTGTTGACCATGTGAGTGGCATGAGGTCTTGTGGTGAATTGTTAGGTTAGTGAAAAGAATTGGAAAGGGACCAGCTGTTGAGGTTGTGGGTAGGGAGTGTTTGAGGGTGAGGGAATTAAATTAGTCTGTGACAAAGTACAAAAGGATCAGCCTTTTCAGTGAGGTCGGACTGGAGCAAGTGCAGCTGCTTGGCTAAAGGCAAAAATACTGACTTCGCTGAACCCTCTCCTCTCCTCTCTCTGCTCTCTACTTTCTCAAAAGTCTTTCTTTTCTTTTCTTTTTGGCTTAAAATTCCAACTCCATTGATTCAAATTACCAAGATGGCCCTTCCCTTCTCAGCACTAAGCAGATGGAGATGGAGATGGCTCCGGCTGTCGGCTGAGGGCATGCCGAATTAAGAGTTTGAATTAGTGATTAAATAAGAACTGGTGGTCTCAACTGGATTCCAAACATGCATTAACTAAACAGCTACAGATAGGGTTAGGCTTAGTAGATAATACAAACAAAACAACCACCTCCCTGCACTGCACTGCACAGCAAAACACAGCAGGCACCCCTGCCCTGCCCTGCCCTGCCCATATTTTATATTTACATCCGCTGTGCCAGAGCCACCTAGTTAGTTACGCAAACGCCGTTGCAGGAGTTGCTGAGTTTCTGTGGGTGTGGTTAGTTGTGGGACGTGAGGGGAGGGCATTTTCGGTCATTTTGTAAAGGGTTGCCTTTATAGGGTGCACCAGCAGCTTCCTTCCCTCCCATACCCCTTCCTATTGTTTTCTTTCTCTCTGTGGCCTCTTACCGCCTGAGTTCTGTTGAGTTGAGATTTGAGACCCTTGGACCAAGCAAAAGAAGTGTGCAAAAGAAGTGTGCAAAAAGTGCACAAACAGGTTGCATTGTTTGTAGTTGTGTTCCAACCACAATCACATACACATACACACAAACACATACATATCCAATTCCGCTAATGGATCCAGAAGCCCTCTCGGCCACTTTGTTCAAATGGGATCCTCGAGGAATGGTGGGGGGAGGCGGCGGCGCATCCCTCCCAGCACCACTGCCGCCCTACTCGCTGCGGCCCAGGGAATTGGGACTGGGAGGCCTGGAGGAGTTGTTCCAGGCTTACGGGATCAGGTACTACACCGCCGCTAAAATTGCGGAACTGGGATTCACCGTCAGCACCCTCCTGGACATGAAAGACGAAGAGTTGGAGGATATGATAAACAGCCTCTCTCATATTTTCCGGTGGGAGCTTCTGGTAGGTGAGAGATACGGAATTAAGGCTGCTGTAAGAGCCGAGCGCAGACGTGTAGATGACGAGATGGATTCCTCCAGGCGCCGGCACCTCTTCTCCAATGACACCCATAACAACGTGGTCCTGGATGCCCTTTCCCAGGAAGGTCAGATACCTCTATTTTTCTTTCCCTTACTTTTCCTGCTCATACATTTATTTGTGTAAATAGTCAAATATTGGTGTTTTATACATGGAAGCAGTGAGGGTTGTGATAGTAAGTAGAGAATAAGGTATGACGAGGCGTGGTTATAATAACATTACAGGGCTATCGGAAGAGCCGGTGCAGCAGGAAAAAGAGGTGGTGGGGAGCGGAGGAGGAGGAACTTGGGAGGCAGTTGCAGCGGGTGAGATGAGGAAGAAGCAGCGGAAGAGAAACGGATCAAAGAAGAAGCAGGTGATGGTGATGGAGGAGGATCATCACGATGAAACTGAGGAGGGAGGTGGGGAGGAGGAGGATAATATGGAAGTCAGCGAGAGACAGCGGGAGCATCCATTCATCGTAACCGAGCCAGGGGAGGTTGCACGGGGGAAAAAGAACGGCCTTGACTATCTCTTCCACCTATATGAGCAGTGTCGTGAGTTTTTGATCCAAGTCCAGAACATTGCCAAGGAACGAGGAGAAAAATGTCCCACTAAGGTATTCTTTCTCTCTCTCTTTACTTCTTCAAATTCCACCACCAAAAATTAACCTAACTTAACTACCCTCCTCTATCCGCTGTTCAAAACATGATGATCACTCTAAATATCATATAATTTAGAAAATAAAATTTTGGACAATGGAGGTATGAAGGAAACTAAAGGAGAGGGTCCGTAGGGCCTAAATGAAAAGTAGAAAGCGTGACAAGTGAAGCGCAGTGAAGGGAGAGGTGGGTGCGTTGTCCGTGTCAAATTAACTTTTTGTGATGATTTCGTACTGTATGAGACTGAGAGGGGCGGGCAGTCAAAGATGGCGATAGAATAGAGGTTAAAGGATAAGTATAGAGATAAAAGGAAATAATAATAATAATAATAATTTGTTTTGAAAATCTTCCACTTTATATATATATGTAATGCAAGTGGCATGTATGCGACCCAGCAGGTGACAAACCAGGTGTTTAGATATGCGAAGAAGGTGGGAGCAAGTTACATAAACAAGCCAAAAATGAGACACTACGTGCACTGCTATGCGTTGCATTGTCTGGACGAGGAAGCGTCCAACGCGTTGAGGAGGGTTTTCAAAGAGAGGGGTGAAAATGTGGGAGCTTGGCGACAGGCATGCTATAAGCCTTTGGTAGCCACAGCAGCTTCCCAAGGTTGGGACATCGATGCCATTTTCAACGCACATCCACGCCTCGCCATCTGGTATGTGCCCACTAAACTCCGCCAACTCTGCCACGCCGAGCGCAACAGTGCCAAAGCCTCCACCTCCGCCGCCGTAAATCACTTGCCATTTTAACTTCATACTCTCTTATCGCTGTCTTCAGCTTCTATCATCCGCTAGGAAGCAAAAGTAGGAGGACATTATTGTTGGATATGAAATGGATGCTACCTTTTCTTTCCATATCAAATTATAATATAATAATGTGTAGACCCCACCCCCGCCTCCATAAAATTAAACTTTAATTTTGTCTCTCCTCGTGTGTGGCTAACAACATGGGATGAAAATGCCAAAACCATACAGCGAACCATATTCAAAATAGTGCTCAAAGTGAAAATGGGCCTAAGCCTACCTTAAAATGGTTCATTGTGTTAGCGAGAGGAGTTTGAAACAATAAATACATATGTTAATAAAGTGAGTCTAGTACATAAAAATTAAATTGAACTTGTCTTATAAAAAATGGTTCGCTGTTAAAAGATATAAATGTTCATCTTTAACATGAAGTCTGCAATTTAGAATATTCACAATAGCATATTCAAATCTTCTCAATTTTCTGATTGTGTGTGAACATTTTTATAATTAATTCCAATTTAAGCCACCAAATAAAAAAAGTAAACTTCATTTCTTTTGTGTGTAAAGAACATGAAATGATATATCCAACAAAACTCACAAAATAGTGTCAGCTATATATATTATATGTTTCATGAAACCAGATCTCGAACAAAAGTCATAAAATAGGACCAACTATATATATTATATGTTTTTGTAAATAACGTCATTTCAATCTATTGTTGTTGTCTGGACCAAAATGGAGATAAAAATTTTAAAAAAAATTATTTGTTTATTATTAATAATATTATTTAAGTTAAAAAAAATTGTGACTTTTTTTTAATTGTTTTTTTTTAAAGCTAGCACGTATTTTTTTTTTAAATAATATCATGTAAACAAATAAGTTTGAGTAGTTTTTTTTAATAAAAATAGGTTAAATTAAAAATTTAGTGTAACAGGAATTACTATTTACACCAATTAGATTTTTATTAAAATTAAAGTTTTACTAATATAAAACTAGATAAAAGTACAACAAAAGAAAACACATACTTACAATAAAGCTATGAACAATACAAAACTATGCATAAACATTTCAAAATAAGAAATAAGTAAATAACACGAGTAAATTCAGATCTAGGTAGCATCTCTAAAATCTCTTATTCATCCATACTACTATTTGGATCAAATTACATCTTGTCTATCTAAAAATAAAAACAATTTTGTTGAATAATTAATTTACTTAAGTAGGTAAGTAACCCTTTAAGTTTTATAATTAACCTTTCCTCTTAAAATTTTTGATATAGTTTGGAGTCTCGATCCAACCGATCTCTCATTTCACAAGCTTAGTTTATAATTCCCAATGAAACTATTCATGAAATTTGGTTCCGAACTTAACACTTGGTGCGTCGGTCAAGGGTTTTGAAGGGTTTAGTAGACTCGTTTATCATGAATTTTATATTCGCATGTAAGACTCGCTCTCGATCTAATACGATCCATCTACTAAATACTCTAACATACTTGATAAAAAATACTCGTGTTGGCAGCTTAGTACTCAGTACATCTTCAATTTAATTTTGAATGGATTTTATTACTGTAATTACTCTCGACTTTCCTTGGTCAAACTCCCTGCTAAAACCGTCTCAATATCCTTGTAACGCTCCCAGTTCCTCAGCCAAAGCTTCCACCATTGCATGAGCAAGTCTCCCTTTCACGTGGTTTTCCCTTCTTTTCCCCATTGCATGAGCAAGCCTCCCTTCCACGTGGGTTTCCCTCCTTTTTTTCCCTATGACAGCAGCGCTTGCTATATATATATCTATATCCATCTATATATATATATATTTTTAATTATAATTAATTATTATTATTTTATCAAAAACATTACATTTAGTCCTCTAAACTTTGATTTGTATGTCTTTTTTGTCCACAGATTTTCAAAATGGCCAATAAATCTCATAAATTTAAACAATTCTCTAAATTATCAATTTAGTGTCAAATAAATCTTAAAAAATTTTAAAATTTTAAATGAATATCTCATAGATGAAGGCAAATTTGTTAATTAAAAAGTTCTGTAAGTTTAAAATTTAAGTAATAAAATAATAAAATAAAGGAAAAACCGTGGACGGCAGAAAAGGACGTTACAATTTAATATATATATTTGGGAACGAGTTACAAGTAAATATAAATTTTTTTGTTGACATTAAATTAAAATTATAAAATATTGAATGGCCTACCATATATTCACCCTCGACATTGACAGCAACATTTCCACTACTAACCAATAAAGCACTGCCAGAAGGGAAGAGGTAATTAACCTTCCACTTTTTGGATTGCAATAACTTCTGCACCAACATCACCCTCCCTATTTTTTAAATCACCCTATCATCCTACAATTATATATTTTTTAAGCGCCACACCTTAACTAGCCTTCTAAATGCAATCTTATCCAACTACAATTATATTTGAGTTTTATGCAATTCACTAACAACCCACCAAACTTTATTACTATTATTCTTATTATTCTCTAATTATTCTTATTATTCTCTAATTATGCAATTCTATACTCAAAATGGTTGTTGGATGCAAGACACGCTTTCGATAATGTAAAATTGTGTTTCCATATCGGACTTTTTATCCGTTTCATTTATTGCGAACAACTGAATTTTAAGTAACCGATACGATCTATGTAATACAACAAATGATCGGATGCAACATACGTTTTCGATAATAAAAGATTGTATTTTTATATCAAATTCTTTATCCGTTTCATTTATTACGAATGACCAAGTTTTAAATATCGACACTATCGGACAAATCGTATCTTTCAACTACACATATCTATTAAAATCATTAAATTATATTTAATAAAGTCGATGATTTTATTTGATTGGTTCTAAATAATTAAAGCCCATGTTCATATAAATTAGTGAAAGAGAAATCCCTTGAAAGTGTCATAAATCAAATGCATATTAAAAATAACAGCATCCAATTTTGACGAAGTAAAAGTAACTACTAATTTTTTACTCCTGGGGTTGATTCAAAATTAAAATCTGTAGAGGAAAAAATGTAATTAACACCCGCACTCCCGAATTTCAAAACAAGAACCAAAAGTTTCAAAAACCCGCCGTCCCTTCCTTTGCACATTCTCCTATAAAATCCACTGTTGCAGCGACTAGCCGGCACGATGCGATCATCCAATCCCAATCGTTTCAATCGTCTATTCACAACGGGTCTGGGCTTTGGGTCTCCGTCTCCCCTCCCTCTCTCCGTCTCTCATTAGCACCCTCCTTCCCATGGCGCAGGTTTCTCAGTTGCCTTGCGACGGCGATGGCATTTGCATGCGCTGCCAGGCCAAGCCTTCCGACTTGGAGACGATCACTTGCAAAACTTGCGTCGCCCCTTGGCACGTCGGCTGTCTCTCAAATCCCCCTCAAATCCTGGCATCTACCCTTCAATGGGACTGTCCCGACTGTTCCCCCCCACCCGAAGATGCTTCCCTGCCTCCACCCGCCAGCTGTCCACTTCCCGTTACGCCTTCCAATGACCTGGTTGCTGCGATTCGAGCCATTGAGGCCGATGCCTCCCTTACTGACCGCGAGAAGGCAAAGAAGCGCCAGGAGCTACTCAGTGGAAAGTCTCAGTCTGAGAAGGACGATCATGACGCCAACGAAAAAAGAGGGGACGATGTTTTGGATTTGTTCGACGAGAGATTGAAGTGCTCCTTTTGCATGCAGTTACCAGAAAGGCCCGTCACTGTAAGTTCCCCATCGCTTCTTTCTTTGCTTTCCTTAACATGCCGGGCCACCTGCTCCTTTTTTCTTGCCCTTGCTTTGCTTGCAACAATCTTTCACCGTGTTTTAAACTGTTCGTTATCTTCCAACTTATTGATTTTTTTTTTTTGTTCCGATTCACTTACTATAACTAATAAATGTTTTGGCTGTAATCTGTATAATTCATTTTTACAGTCTCACTTCAACTCGTCTTCTGTACAATAGTATAGACGAAATGAAATACGGCTGTTTATTGCCTATTGACGTTCATTTATTTTTCTGTCTTGAGAATTTCAGTGTATAAAATGTGGTTTCCCTATCATTTGTATTAATCGAAGTAAATTCTTAGTTTCAAAGGCCAGAGACTTATATTTAAGCAAATAGTATTCGTAATCAATTGCAATTTATGGTTTTTAACCTGGTCAGATAGCGTATGATTATGTCAATTAATGTCCATAGGCGTTTTAGGTTGTTATTAGAATTATCATTAATATTAAAATTCAGAAGCTTAATACGAGGTAGAAACGTATACTCTTGTATCATATAAAAAAATTATATCGTTGTTGTATAACACCCTCAAACCTTCATCAATAAGCTTGGCCATTGCGAACTCAAAAGAGAAAAAGAGGGGGCTTGGCCATCATGTGGAAACACAGTGCTGATGAATATAACTATGATTGTTTGTTATGGAAATGTGGATATAAAAGAACGGGTTGTCCTTGAAAGTTGTAAACATAGAATTATGCTATATGGTACTCGTTGTCTATCATGTTTTCTTAAAATTTTACTATTCTTTCCAAATACGTTTTGATGATGCTTACAAGTCCTAGACAGATCATTTGTTGATACCTGTATTGGATGTGCTCATCACAGATAATAATGAGAAGATCTTTCAAATTTTATGTTCTAATGATTACTGCTGAACAAATGTTGTAGAACTTATTGTCAATCTAAACATAGTTTGATTGGTTATGACATATCCCTAATCAAAAGGTTAGAGGTTTGAATCCCCGCCTTCACATGCTGTGGAACTGAAAAATGTTGTATGGTTTATAAAAAGATGTGTGGTTGGAAGATAGAACCTTCAACTTTAAGGGAAGGCAATTGATGTTTTGTCTTAATGAGCTATGCTCAATTTGAAATATAAATGTAATATTTTCTTTTTGAATATCTGTTTCAGATTATTTTATGGACTTTTTTTAGATATGCTTATCTTATTTTCAGTTTCTATAAATTTGCATCTTAGTGGTGGCCAAGTAGAGGCATGGCCGTACAAATAAAAATAATTTGATAACTAATAACCACACGGGTATTAAAAAATTATGGATGTCTGATTGATTGGTGCTGGGCCATCGGTCTTGATAGTACAAC